TTTTTTTTTTTTTTTTTGAGAGTCTCATTTTATCGCCCAGGCTAGAGTGCAGTGGTGCGATGACAGTTCACTGCAGTCTCGACCTCCATGACTCAAGTGATCCTCCCACCTCAGCTTCCTTCCCTAGTAGCTGGGGATACAGGCGTGAGCCACCATGCCTGGCTAATTTTTAATTTTCTTTGTAAAGACTGGGTCCATTGCTGCTGCACAAATTGAGTTTTTATTTAAATAAATATAATTGCTCTGTAAGGGGGTGTAGAGCAGTAATTTTCTTTCTTCTTCTCTTTTTTTCTGGAGACAGAGTGTTGCTCTGTTCCCCTGGCTGGAGTGCAGTGGCATGATCAGCCTCAATTCCTGGGCTCAAGTGATCCTCTCACCTCAGCCTCCCAAGTAACCTGGACCACAGGTGCATGCCACCATGCCCAGCTATGTTTTAATTTTTTGTAGGGGCAAGGGTTTTACACTGTTTCCCAGGCTAGTTTCAAACTCCTGGACTTAAGCAATCCTACCATTTCAGCTTCCCAAAGTGCTGGGATTACAAGTGTGAATTACCATGCCCAGTGTAATAATATTCTTTGCAATGGCAAAATTATTTATATGAAGTCTATAGCAAGTAAAAAAGATAAAGATCCAATAACCTTCCCTTTCACATTGAAATCTATTGGTTGACCAGACGTGGTGGTTCATGCCTGTAATCCCAGCACTTTGGGAGGTTGAGGCAGGCGGAACCTGAGGTCGGGAGTTTGAGACCAGCCTGACCAACATGGAGAAACCCTGTATCTACTAAAAATACAAAAAATAAGCCCAGTGTGGCGGCACATGCCTGTAATCCTAGCTACTCAGGAGGTTGAGGCAGGAGAATCTGTTGCACCTGGGAAGTGGAGGTTGCAGTGAGCTAAGATTGCACCACTGCACTCCAGCCTGGGCAACTAAAGAAACTCTGTCTAAAAAAAAAAGAAATCTATTGGTCAATCCATGAGCCAGATGAAGCTCTCTCTTATCTGTTCTTCACTGTAATGATGTACCCTTGGTGAATTTATCTCTTATCTGTTCTTCACTGTAATGATGTACCCTTGGTGAATTTATTAATTCTAACAGTTTTTATTTTATAATTTTTAATTAAAATATGGAATGCTTCACGAATTTAGGTGTTATCCTTATGCAGGGGCCAGGCTAATCTCTCTGTATCATTCCAATTTTAGTATATGAGCTGTCAGAGTGAGCACCTAACGGTGTTTTAGTGTTTGTTTTAAAAGGTACAGTTGTTGGATCCCATTCGTTGAAGACTGATGGACCTCAAAACTATTTTTATTTCTGCAGACACCTGCTATAAATTAAGGGAAGTGTACATCCTAATGTGCTTTTTTTTTTTTTTTTTTTTTTTAAAGACGGGGTTTTACCATGCTGGTCAGGCTGGTCTTGAACTCCTAACCTTAGGTGATCCGCCCGCCTTAGCCTCCACAGTGCTTGGATTACAGGTGTGAGTCACCACGCCTGGCCCCTAATATGCTTTTTAAGACCTTTTTTAATTGTCAAGACGGAGGCTATTTTTATATGTACCTTATTTTGCATAAAGATCTTTGGGATATACCAAGCAACTCCTTTGCCCTCTTTTTTTTTGGAGATGGAGTTTTGCTCTGTCACCCAGGCTGGCTCAGCTTACTGCAACCTCCACCTCCTGTGGTCGTGATTCTCCTGCCTCAGCCTCCCCAGTAGCTGGGATTACAGGTGCGCGCCACCATGCCTAGCTAATTTTTGTGTTTTTAATAGAGACATGGTTTCACCATATCAATCAGGCTGGTCTTGAACTCCTGACCTCAAGATCCACCCACCTCAGCCTCCCAAAGTGCTGGGATTACAGGCATGAGCCACCATGCCTGGCTGCCCTCTTTCTAGAGTGCTTAATTTAATAAAGCTTTGTGGTTAGCCTGCTTAGGTTTCTCTCTGTATTTTTTATGATAAATTCACTACAGATCAAATACATACTCTTAGAAAAGTTAACACAGAAAAGATAATGTACAGAAAGATATAAAATGACCTATTAAGCACAACCTGATATGTTCCACTCTACAGTTAATTATATGCCCTTCAGAAGCTTTCCTATGTCATTTATAAACATATATTTTGGCTTTTACTTCAAATAAAAGCAGTGGGGAATTACACGTGGCTTTTTTATTTTTATCACAATATCTTGACATTTCTATTTTTGTATGTACAAACCCACATTCTCTTTTTCCTTTGTGCCTTTTTTAATGTTATATATTTCTTTTTGAGAGACAGGCTTGCTTTCAACTCTTGGGCTTAAACAACCTATGCCCAGCATTCTTTTTCATTCTGATTACTGTTTTTAAGTTAGTTTTTATTTCACAAGCAAAATGTGCATCTATTTTTCTTGTAAAAAAAATAAAAACATTAGGCCGGGCGCGGTGGCCCACCCTATAATCCCAGCACTTTGGGAGTCTGAGGCAGGCTGATCATGAGGTCAGGAGATCAAGACCATCCTGGCCAACATGGTGAAACCCCGTCTCTACTAAAAATACCAAAAACAAACAAACAAACAAAAAAAAAAACTAGCCAGGCATGGTCGCATGTGACTGTAATCCCAGCTACTCAGGAGACTGAGGCAGGAGATTTGCTTGAACCCAAGAGGTGGAGGTTGCAGTGAGCCAAGATGGCACCACTGCACTCCAGCCTGGGCGACAGAGCGAGACTCTGCCTCAAAAAAATATAAAATAAAAATAAAATAAAATAAAAACATTTTTGGTAAAGCTAAAATCTTCCTGTATCAGCTTGAGTGTGTATATGACACATATACTTTCACTTCACTTTTACATAGTTAAAAATGATATATATTCAAATTTACTCTTCAAAATGGTATATAACACTTGGTATATATCAGAATTTCCAGCACATTTACATACTTAGGTACATCTCCATGGAAAACATATCATATGATCTATTTACATAAGTGAATACTGTATATATTTTTATTCAATAAACCTTCAAGATTCATTAATTTTAGATCATATAAATCCATCACATTCATTTAAACTTCTACCTATTCTACTTAGTATTCAGCAGATTGGACAAATGACAGTTTAGTTTCTTTTTTTTTTTGAAACCAAGTCTTGCTCTATCGTCCAGCCTGGAGCGAAGTGGAATGATCTCAGCTTACTACAACCTCCACCTCCTGGGTTTCAGCGATTTTCCTACCTAAGCCTCCCAAGTAGCTGGGATTACAGGTGCCCACCACCATGCCCGGCTAATTTTCATATTTTAGTAGAGACAGGATTTCACCAAGTTGGCCAGGCTGGTCTCGAACTCCTGACCTCAAGTGATCTGCCTGCGTCAGCCTCCCAAAGTGCTGGCATTACAGGCATGATTGAGCCACCATGCGTGGCATACGTTTTCTACTGTTATCCATTGAAGGCATTTCTGAATTTTTTTTTGCTGTGACACACCAGTCTACTTCAAATTTTTTTTCATGTCTAAATTTGGCACTTAAATGAGTGTATCTGTAGGATACATTCTTTGATATGTGATTGCTAAAGTCAAAATAAGTATCTAGAATTTTGATAGATAATGAAATTATGCTCCCCCTTTTTTATTTTTTT